GGGGGGGGGGGGGGAATTGAGTGGCTTTGACTGCAGGCATTGCTGGATAAATAAAATGGCAGAAAGAATTAGTTTGACTGCAAAACCCCAGGACACTCAAAAGAGAGAAGCTGAAGCTGCGGAGGTCTGCTCCGAGCTTTTCCCGAAACTGCAGAGGTCTGCTCCAAGCTTCTCCCGAAGCTGAGGAGGTCTACTTTGTCTGTTCAGAGCTGCTCCTGAAGCTGAGGAGGTCTCCTCCAAGCAGCTGCTCGTGAAGCTGTGGCAGGCTGCTCCAACCTGCTCCCAAAGCTGAAGAGATCTGCTCCAAGCTGCCTCTGATTGTATGTCTGGCTTCTATGCTGTGAAATATCAATATCTTTATACCTTATCAGGTGACTTTGGGTTGATTGCAAAAGCTCACTTGATAGATATACACACATGCATACATGTATGCACACGCATTTGCACGTAGATATTTTAGTCCATATCTTCAATAGGTTGCTTCCCCACCAACCAGAAGAGGAACTGCACGACTGCATGAATGACAGGTGCTAAAAACAAAGCCACACTGCATTCTCTGTACATAATACAGCTGCTAAAATAAAATTTAAAAGGGGGTCTCGTTTGAAAGGGAATACTCAGATGGATGTACGTTTACATCATTCATTAGGTGAGAGAACCATTTAAAGCAACATGTTAAGTACCAAAGAAAAAAGAGCAATTATGTAAAGTGGTTGATTTTGGGTTAAGCTGGAATATGAAAAATGTTTTAAGAGATGCTTTTAAAATAACACATCTCTCCTGAATAGATACAGGCCCAGCGGCCAAGCTGACAGCTCAGAGAGGTTGGGGCTGATCTCTACTTTCTGCTTGTGCTCTGCTGTTCACATGGTAAGAGGGTCAGCTTATAAGTGAGCTGGGAATGGAGAGCTGATCACGATTCAGGGCTGAGAGTATTATCGGCAGACGTGTCTAGATGTTATATGAACAGTTTAAGCCCCAGAACACTCAGCATAAATATAATCACCTCAAATCGCTCACAAATCCATTCAAGCTCCGATGGGCGTGTTTGATATTCGAAACCAGCAGGATGGGAGCATCGCAGAAACCTTTGAGCGCTGATTCATGCTGCTTAGGGGGCTGTACCCTGTGATTTAAGGCGATCCCCCGAGCAGGAAAGGTCAGTTAGGGTCAGGGTTAGGGTGTGAGTGAATGTGTAAGAGCACTGGGGTGGACGGCATTGTGTCATGGTGGCATCTGTCCCTGCCTTGAAGTCGGATTGATATGCACAGAAACCGCAGCCAGGAATGCTATCGCAAATTGCCAAATAGAAAATAAGCCAGGCAGCTACTTCTTTGGAGGAGACTGGCACATCAATACTGAACCGTAACAGCAGCCGAGAAAGCGGTAATTCGTCCAATGGAAGCCTTTCATTCTGTCTAAGCCTACATGGGCACCTAAGTACGCAGCCATCTCACTAAAGCTGGTATACGATCATGGAGCAGCAGCAGAGAGGGATGTGCTCCGGAAACATGCTGAAAGACTAGAGGCTGCCGGCAATTTCTGCAGATGCAGAGGATATACCTTATAGGGTACCGGTCAATATCTAAAATAAAAAAATCACTAGAAAGGAAATGGGGAAGGACGAGTGCAAAACTCTGCTGGACGCCCTGAATAAAGTGACTGCTTGCTACAGACATCTGGTCATCACCCTGGGCAGCAGCTCAGACTCGCAGAATCTGCGGGAGGAGCTCAGGAGGACGCGGAGGAAGGCACAGGAGCTGGCGGCGGCGAACCGCTGCAAACTGACCGCTTTGCTGAAAGACAGGAACATCAGTGAGGAAGAGCGATCCGAGTACGAGCGCCTCTGGGTGTTATTCTCCAGCAGCATGGAGCTGCTGGATGCAGACATGACGCGGTCCCTGGATATCGGGCGGGATTTCCCTCTAATGATGCCCGTCCGACACCTGGTCCAAACCGGAGTAAGTGGCAGTACCAGCACTGTGGCGGCCAGGGCGATGAACGTGCACAACATGAAGTACGAGGCCGAGAGCAACATCGACACGGTCGATCTGATGGAGCTTCAGAAGGAGATCCTCCACGTCAGCCAGATGATAGAAGAGATGGAGATGAAGGTGCAAGTAGCACCGTGGACAGTAGAAGCCAAACAGGAGGCGGGTGCGGAGCTGAAGTCCACCGGCAGCGTGCGGAAATCCTCCGCGGGCATCATCTCTCTCTGCGAGGAGCCCGCATGCCTGAGCAGTGAACCTGGCCTTCGCAAAATCCTGCCTGGAATCATTTTCACCGGCATTCTCTTCATTGCGGGAATTCTGGCATTTTGCGTAATTAAACTTTCCTGAGATGGCCTAATACGCCGTTTTTTCCTTATGAAACACTAGCAGGTGCTGCACATGCGGAGTAAATGTCAAAGCCGGAGGTGCGGACAGGAGCAAAATATGTCTGCATAATTTCAGACAGACACAAGCTGAGAGTATAGTCTACATGTCATGCTGGTTGGCTCATTAATACAATAGTGAGATGCGAGAACATCTACCTAATGCCATCTACCTGTCATTGTATCACTGCTTTTCATGAAGAAATCAAGGATGAAGTCCGAAATGACCGCATGCTACACCATGGCTAGAATCCTGTACTGCTTAATGTTTTTTTTCTGTTTTTTTTTTTGGTGGGGGGGCAGGGACTCTTTTTATTGAAATGCATTAACAAGGTCAGTAGAAAATTGCCTGATGTCTTGTGAAATACACTAGGCCAGAGCTGAATTTCGTCATTTAATTATGTGCAGACACACACAACAAAAAGAATTTTGGTTCATGTTAATTCAAGACACTACTGGTTTAAAGCAGATGCCAGTGGCCAGCATCCATGTATCATGTGTTTGAGAAAGCAATCAAGCCAAGGATAAAAGCTTTCGGGATTCCTGCATCCACGTGGCTTTCTTTTGGTGAAGAATGCACTGTGTGAGTGTTTGCATTACAATTCAGATGGCAAGACATTACAATGAACACAAATCTAGTGTAATATGTGCTCCATTAAACCTGCTGTTAAATGTAAAACAGAGCAATCTCTGAGACAGCAAAACAAATTCCATGCATCTAAAGCAAGACTGGATGGAGGCTCTTTTCTCAGATTTCACCCCATTAAACTGATCTACAACAATTATTTGAATATTCCTAGTTTCGATACAGTAGTCCTGAATGAATTATTATAGGTACTGCCCTCTAGTGTTAATGACATAACTCTAGTCATTCATTATGAACAATAGAACATAAAAAAGTTGGACAGATACTAGAGGGACACACCAATTCAGTGGGTTGCAGCCTCACACTTCCTGGGCTGCGTATGTACATCCAGTGCATTGTGGGTAGGTGAAATGGTATCTCTAAATGCAAAGGTTCTTAGCATATGAATGTCTGTCCTGTGCATCCTGGGATACACTCTAGGCTCAGCGTGACCCCGTGCTGGATAAGTGGCAGGGATGGTTGGATAGATACTCAATTTCTCCTATAAAGGTTATCTTGCAAATATGGTGACGGCTTGTAGGAAACTCACAGTTGTGTACAAACAGGCAAAAACGAGTACTTGAAAACCATCAATGACATGCAATCACTCATCATGCCAAGTGGCTTTTTATTAACAGACCAACAGAACTGAAAATGCAACATACTAACCCTATGAACATATTAATCATCATACGAACAAAAGAATTTCAAGATATTAAGTGGGGATGTCACAGATCCCCTCCCCACCCCCCCACACTCTAAACAAAAACATGACTTTTCCACTCTCTCTAAGCATAAATGATAAACTCATTCTCTGTTCTGGGCTATGACTGTAAATCTGCAAAACAAAAGCAGTTGGAACTCTGTAGTCATACAGTTGGTGTCGTGCTGGACAGTCAGTCAGTGTCGCTGCTGCTGCTGCCATCGCCGATGTGAGGGGACCAGTAGCAGCCAACGTCCTCGACGAGCTCCACGACCCAGCGACCTTGAGACATGATGAAGCAGGTGAGTAAAATAACTCAAAAAGTTCTATTATCACGTGTTCAGATGAATACAGTGTAATTCTTATGCCAGTTTCAGGTAAGGGGATAACTGCATGGGGAACAATATGCAGATGGCAGTGCAGTACGTGACAGGCGGCAGTGTGACACAGGACAGAGGGCAGAGTGACACAGGACAGAGGGCAGAGTGACACAGGACAGAG